CGTGGAGCACGAAGTACCGAACATATATCTGAAAGTTGTTTTCGATTAACAACGGCTCTAGGAGGAATATAAACAGAACTACAAACGCTCTTACCTTTAAAAATAGCCTGACATGCGATAATTTCAATACCTGGAAATTGAGGAAGATTCACTCTATAGAAGGAATGGCACTTTTTGATCCCCAAAAGTACCACTCCTCCACGCAAATCCTCACGATCCAGTCGAATAATGTTAAAATCATAAAATAGAAGATCAATATCTGAAGAGAGCCAAATTTCACAAAAAGCAAATGCATCACAATCATTATTGTGAACTAAAAACTTAAAAGAGTCTAATTTAGGAATAAGACTTCGACAATTGCACTATAGAACAGTAATCAAATCCCCGACCTCGTTTGGAAAATTATCCATCGAAGGAAATGATTCCTGCAACGAGGGGCCATTTCAATGTCAATTGCTTCAAGAGGGTCTTCACAGTAGGAAGCATTGCCAGAACAATGCTTTTCAGAGGATCAGAAATATCGAGGTACTTGAGGATACCGCCCACAATGTCATCGAATGAGAATAACCCAGATGAAGAAGAGGCTTCTGTTCTTGGATGTCCCCGGGAGTGGTGGAAAATCCTGGGTATAGTCAGTTCTTCGGAAACCAGGAGGAGTTGAAACTTCCTTTTTTCCACCACTCCTTGATTTGTGCAAGCTGGTTTGAGGTTCCTGATCAGCGACTAATCGTGAACGGATGCGTCTTTGTTTCCGTGAAGAAACTTCCGGAAAACTGAAATAAGTTCCCTCTTCAGCCAAGTCAGAGTCAGTCTCGTCATCTGACAAAAGAGAGAATGGATTTTTGTCGTTGGTCGATGGTTTGACTGTCTTAAGCATTTCTGCAAAAGACCGCCTGGAACATTCCTTAAGAGAGCGTTCTAGTTTCTCCCCGCGTTGTTTGTACACCGGGCACGACGAGAGACCATGAGGAGGAGATCCTCTGCAGTACACGCATTTTAGTACAGTAGCTGCACAGGCACCATCCGCATGTGGAACAGCGTGTTTTACTGCCACAGTGGGAGGCCGTATGTCCCTGTATGCTTACAGTTTTGGCAGTTCATGGGGGAACGAACAAACGTACAGGTTGTCGAAGTTTTCCCAGCTCGATGTAGCGAGGAAGGACTGAACCACAAAAGGTCACACGAAACGAGTCTTTGGGGGTAAAACTCTTTTTACCCTTGCTGACAGATACTGAGCCCAGTTTTTGGAAATCCAGTATCTTCACCGGGGGAAGCAAGGGGTTCTTGAAACGACCAACCGCTTGCTTCTCCAAGATCTCGGGGGTCAGACTCGCTTCGATAACCACACCTTCAATCTCCACATCACGAGCTGGGATGTACACTCTATACTCGAGCGTAAAGAGCTGGAAAACAGCAATCTCATTAGCTTGCTTAAGGTTAGAGATGAAAACACGAAGTTTATTGTGCCTAACCTTCGTGATTTCCGTCACGGCCGAGAATCGCTTCGTCAAATCATTTGAAATTTGTACCACATTCAAAGGTTTGTTTTTGGGCTGAAAGTAGACAACCCATGGACCAGTCGAGTTATTCGGATAGGCCCGTGATCGAGAGCTGAGTGCTGCACTTGATCGAGGCGCAGCACTCAGCGCACGATGATTGATGAACGATGTAGATGAAGAGACGGGTGCTCACACTCGATGATGATGATACGTGAGCAGGTATGCGTGACCACGCAACGATGATGCCCAAAGTGGTTTGCAAATTACCAATCGCACGGATTTATCTTTCCGAAATCACACTTTCTACTAAAAAAAACTCACTTTTCGAACAATTTACCGGGAACTATGCCAGGAGTCACTTAGTGAGAAAAAAACTGATAATTTATATCCAGCGAATACCGAGAAAACTTCCTAGGACGCAGTGAGGAAATTAGTTAAGAATGTGTTAATTTTTAGTCAACAAATTTAATGTTGCATTGCAATACTTTAAAATATGTTAAATTTAAATGTTCCCTCATTTCACATCCGTTGAATCATTCTGAACGGCCCTCCATGTGGCCATGTGGTTATATCACATCATTGATAATAATGTATATATCAACAAAGTAAAAGTGCAACAATAGCTGCAAAATGGGGCACACGCGCATCGGCAATGGAGTGACGCTCGTTAAAAAGATACTCGGAGATACTATCTATTTTCCGCACTGGTGTTACGATTTTATAAGACGCAACTAGGAACAAAGATAATGGACGTCTAAATGTCGTAGAACACATCAAAAATAACATAGGAGACTTTCGGAGACTAGTAGCGACAAGCAGTGATGCAGAGAAGAACAACGAGTTCACAAATAGGCACGAAAATTGGACAGAAGGGTGAAGAAACAGCGAAAGTTGGTAAGATAGTTTTTTTTTTTTGCTTTATTATAGATATTTTCATCCCGCGGCTGGTTCGTATCTTTTATAAGAGGGCGCCTAAATGGGCTTTCGACATAATTACAATGCATGTACTAACTAATCAGTGCTCATATACACAAAACAATGCTGGGATTGGGAGGGATTATTGAAGCGATTTGGATGGAGATAGTGAAATTGTCAACTCCCTGTTGTTAACATCTCGTGGAAAAAGGGCTGGCTCTTCTCCACACTCATTGGGGTATGCTTCTGTCAGACGGCTCGTATTTTGACCAATTGTATGATCATGTGGCTGGAAGGAGATTCTCTAACATCCCATGGAGGCGTATAGGTGAGTTTGCCTATCGATCCACCAAAACCGTTTTTGGTCCTGCATACAGTGGTTATTAAGCTTGATCAAATGAAATAGTTAGGAGCGCCCACTGCTATCGGACTTAGTTTCCGTGCTACAATAGACAGTTATCATCATCATATCATCAGCCGGCACCGGTGGTGTCGTGGTAAGCGTGACTGCTTTCTAACACCCCAATGAGTCTGGGTTCAATCCCAGCCGAGGTCGGTGGGATTTTTCTGAGGCATAAAAATCTCTGGTCACGTCTTCCTTCGGAAGGGAAGTAAGCCGTTGGTCCCGGCCCATGTATGTTGTTGTGAATGGGTGCGATATGCTACGCAGGTGTGGAAGCTGCCTTCCTGCACATTCGATTGCCGTCAATGGATGGCAATCGATGTCCGTCGGTGATTGGCACTAGATTGCGGAACAGAGACCGACGTTAAATAAGGAAAAAAATAAATCATCATATTATCATCATCTATACTACTCTCTTGTGCGCCAAACCTTGAAACGGCATGCTTAGTTTGGAGTACGTTTACGATTATCTGGATGACCAGAATTGAAGCTATCCAGGCTAAATTTACTAGATATACTCTCAGATTTGTTCCTTTAAACAACGTAGCCTTCATACGAAACATGTCGGAAGTTCAACAATGTATATGAGCTGTTCGATAACAACATCTCTGCATCGGTATTGAAAAACATAATGAAAGAGCGTCAATTAGAATCCTAATCAGGTGAGTTTCTGTCAATTATATTTAAATATGATGAATTTTGCTTCTAGCCCAGCTTAATTTCAGTTAAGGGGAGGTTCTCATTCAAATGGCCAAAAAGTAAGCAAAGTTTGGCATTTTTTGTATGCCAATGATAAACATAGAAGGACGCGGTTTTGAAATTCAAAAACCTTAGAACTTCGTCTTTATTTCCAAATTTTTACAAGGTGAAAAAACAAAATGGCGTGGTCACGTTTTGAGTAAAGTAGTGTACGCCTTTAATTGCCAAGCTGCGTTCAGCCTGCTACCTCAAGATCAATCTGAAACACAACACGATTAATGAGGTTTTAAAGTGAACTAAGGAGGAATGACCTAAGAACGGACGATTTTTCACCCCTTTTTTCCTCTTTAAGGCTTCAGAAAAAACAGTGAATACAAAGAATTTGTAGATTTTATAGATCATTCCTCAAATGAAAAAGGTTTTCTTTCGAATGGTCACAGGTACAAGTCGTTAAATTGAACCGTTTTCAAATGAGATTGAACGCAATTTTGAAAAAACGCGAGATAAAGCTGAGAGCGTCCCATGGCGACCGGGACGCCGCTTTCTAGTGCGCGGATCGAAAAACCTTTTCGATGCAATATAGTAGTCACTTATACCTTTCAAAAATTCAGTAACAAAAAAATTGGTTTTTGAAAATTTTGAATGAGAACCTCCCCTTAACACTGCTCCTGTATCATGACCATGAGAGACTTCCACTTAGTGACGTGCTGACAGCAACCTCAGAGGATGCATATAGTTTTACCGAGTTGACTATTGGAAATGTTTAATATATTTAATGTTTAATGTATGTTCTGTAATATTATATGATATTTTGAAAAGATATGGGTTTTTTCACCTTTTTGAGTGAGCATTATGTAATGTTTACCCATAAAGGTTCTCTTCATCGTATCCCTCATTAAGACAGTATCGTTAGATAAGGTTATAAAAATACACAAACAAATATAACACACATAAAACAAGGAATTCAAATTGTATCGCCGAAACGACTTCTCCGACATCGCTAAATTTTTATATGTTTTGCAAAATTAAATGATCTTTCAATTTAAAATATTAGAATAATAGTACGTTCAGACTACAAAGTTATAACATGTTATAGCGCTATCTTGATGGTGGTTTCTGTGTTACAATTATTTGACAACCGTTATAACATGTTATAACTCTCCAGTCTGGACAGCGTTTAAGAAGTTGTTGAAAAACTTCGCAATTAAAATCAAGAAAAAAAAATTTCATACATACCTAATTAAATATTTCTGAGTGTTTTGTAATTTTTCTTAAAATTACATCAAAAATCTTTCATTTGAAGGGAATTTTTGAAAAAAAAAAGATTTTTGTGACTACCCTAACACAGAAATGATCACCCTGATAGCGGAATAAAAAGAACTATACCAATTTTCACGAAATTCTGAGACTCACTACAGCTTTTTTCTATGGAATTGCTGAATAAAGAAGAATATGAAGAAGAAGAGAAGAAGAAGATTACTTACCAGCAAAATACGCCAACATTGCTGTTAGTATCACTGACAGTAAGATTAAGGCAATACTAAAACATTTCCACGAGCATCGATGCTGGCATCTTTTATCTATGTGAAACCTGAGATAAGAAAAGAGTAAATAAGATTATTATTTTTTAATTGTCTTTTTGATATTTAGTATCACGAACCGGATGTGTCTGGAAATGAATCCGTTATTTTTAATAATGTTCTAAGCTCTGACGAACAAACAACAACTTCATCTGAATACATTCTACGGAAATTGTGGTAGGGTAAATGGCTCTAATGTTGGCATATGGATCTAAGATGAAGCCATCGCTAAAAATCTACTATTTATCATTTTAATCTAGTTGAAGGCGTCATTGGGACGGTACTAATGGAAATTTTTTAATCCCGTAACGTGGGTAGATCACCTTTTCGTGGTACGTTACGGGATGTAAGATCTACCACCGATTCCTAGTCCCGACTACTTCAAACTAGGCGAAGAGGATTAGTAATCAAAGGAACACATCTTAGTCCTTGTTAATTTTTATGCCTTGTTGATAGTGATAAGACTCGGCTTTGTCCACGGAGGATGATCTTGAAACAAAGAAAAAATGAGTAAGTTAGTCGTCATCTATGTGGTTCCTTATCTTCTATTCGTTGTTCTCTAGTTTGAAGTGGTTAAGGGTTCTGATGCATGGTCATTATCGGTGTCATTTCTTAATTTTGTTGCTAAGGAATCCAATTTTCACTGACAAAGGGGCGCGCCTTTGGAGGGTATTCCAACACTCCGAAGGATATAAATAGCGGGACCTTTCAATTAGAGTTGGATCCTTGCGATAAATGCAACTGTAAAAAAATCGAATACTTCATCATTTCTCAATAGTGATGGAGTAATACGACATGCACTAAACTAAGGACACGGGATATACTACAATAGATCAAATTACTGGTCGCAGTGGTGTTAGGTCCCGAACAGTGGAAAAAAAATGGATATTTTTGGTCGCTATTGAAAATTTAGTCGATTGAATTTATGTATGGGCCCAAATTAGGGGCATTTAGAGCCGACATTACATCCATTTCCCTTATCATCAGAATTATTACCTTGCATTTCATCCAATGTTATTTTTGATGGAAAGCTGCACTATTTCATTTTAGTTTTGTTGTAATTGAAGAAGTATCTTCGACATGATTTAATTTCATTCTCAATTGTATGTTATTCTCAGACAGTGCCAACAAAATCGCATCATTAAGTTGATCATAAATACGTAAATACTTTTCGAGATTATCACGATTTTTTGTTTTCTGTATATTTTGTGAGCTTTTTGTTAAGGATTTTTTCAAGTTAATGATAACCAAGTAGAAGCTCTATATACGAACTTCAGCAAAGCGTTTGACAGAATTGATATCCCAATGCTGATTTTTAAATTAGAAAAATGGGAATTGGGATGAAGCTTCTCACCTGGATTAAGTGGTATTTAGTTGATCACCATCAAATTGTAAGATTCAACGAGAAAACGTCTAAGCCAACTCATTCCACGTCAGGGGTTCCCCAGGGCTCACACCTAGGTCCCCTTTTTTATTTTGCACATTAAGACATCTCTCTTATTTTAGAAATATCAGAGTACTTATATACGCTGATGACATGAAGCTATTTTTAGAAATAGGAAGAGATAACTATATGAATGTGTTTCAGAATGAAATGAATGTTTTTTACAAATGATGTAGTAAAAGTTTATTGAAACTTAATATTAAAAAATCTAATCTTATAACGTACAGTAGAAAACTAAACTAACAAAATCTTCGTATTCGTCTTCGGGCGCGGACGCATTTGCATTTTGGTCCGCAAGTAATTTGTATATATATAAATATTTTTTTTTTTTACACTTCGACAACGACGCGTGTGGGTCTCGCTGGCCATTTGTCCTTATAGTATTCGTCGAATATTTACAACATAAGCAGTTATGCCGTGCGGTGTAATATCATGCAGTATCAACGACGACCGCTTTCTATGGAAGTGCGAATTCTGCAACAAAAAATACCATGCTGCCTGTGTCGGAGTACAGCGACAACGGGAGCATTTCATCACGGCATTCATGGTGCCAATGTGTGCTGACTGCCAGCACATTTTACGGAAGGAAGCCGACGTGAGGAAGCTGCTTCATCAACAGGAGCAACTTGTGGAAGCAATCCACTCTCAAACGGACGCGAATCACCGCATTGCTGCTGACCTAAAAAAATTCTGCTTAGTATCAGAATTATTCGACAGCATTGAGCACCTGCTCAATGACGTAAAAGAAACGTTGGCAGTAATAAATAAAAATAATAATAACATGTGCAGCGCGGTCGGCCAGCATATGAAAACGTGTGATTCACAAGCGCACGCGACAATAACCGGCATCAACGAATCAAATTCATTGATGTCACAAAAAATTACAAAATTACTTGACGAACGGCTATCAAGCTTATCAAATGACATGGCACTTTCAATAAAAGGGGCCGAATCATCACCTCATCATCATCATCCAGAGCCAAAACTTCTGGAAATTCTCGAGGAAGTGAAATTTGTATCTGGGGCTGTTTCTAGTCTTCAGATAAATGCTGCAGAACCTCATCAGAAGACCTTGGAGGAAGAATTAGCTGAAAGTCCTCCAGTACACAAAAATACAATATCTCCAAAAACTGACCATTCATCTCCTGGATGGCGGTTTTTAGGCAACAAATGGCACTGGAAGCAAGACTGGTCTAAATTTGACGCAAAACAACGGACTCGCAGGTTGCAGGAAAAAGCTGCAGAAAAAGCCAAACGCTGCAGAAAACGACGAAAACAACAACAAATTCACACCAGCAGTACCAAAAACATCATCCAAGGAAATGAATACAGCCGCTACAACAACGCCACCTCCGACAACAACACCATCAACAATAACAACAACACCAATAACAACAACAACAGCAACAACGACAACAACAACAACAACTACAACAACAACAACAACAACAACAACAACAACAACAACAACAACAACATCAGCAACAACGGAAATGGAAATATCACATGGACATCATTACCCCTGGACAAAGAATTATTAGCCGCAGCACGCATACAATTTTCTGGACCACCAAGTAAAGACAGTACACCGAAATTTATAAATTTTCAAAAGGGGGAAACTATTAACCCTTACCGCATAGAAAAACCTAACCCACCACTCCTAGACCCTTGCGCCAGCCTGTCGTAAGGCTTACGGAACAATCTGCAGCCGGCGACAGACGCTTTTTGAAGGCACTATCTCTTGCATTCCTAAACTTTTCGAGGCAATTGTCAACGAAAAATTATTTCTCCAAATCAAAAATAGAATTACTGACATGCAACACGGCTTTTTCAAGGGTCGCTCGACCTCGACAAATTTACTTGAATTTATAGACTATTCTTTGAATGCAATGGATAATGGAAACCACGTAGAAGCTCTCTATACAGACTTTACCAAGGCATTTGACCGCATAGACATACCAATGCTACTTTTTAAATTGCAAAAAATTGGAATTGAGTCAGGGCTCCTAAAATGGCTTGAATCATATTTAACTAAACGCCAACAAATAATTAAATTCAACGGAAAGAAATCGAGTCCAATTCAAGTCACTTCAGGCGTCCCCCAAGGCTCTCATTTGGGACCTCTTCTTTTTATTCTATACGTAAACGACATTTCTTTCATTCTCAAAAAACTTAAATTGCTTATTTATGCCGACGACATGAAGCTCTTTTTAGAAATAAGAAATGATGAAGACATCAATATATTCCGGAATGAAATACACATATTCTACATATGGTGCAAAAAAAGTCTACTAGAATTGAATGTAAAAAAATGTAACTTAATATCATTTAGCAGGAAAAGAACAACTTCAAATATTTCAATTGCACTAGGAAATCAAAATGTAGAAAAATATTTAGGAATTATCTTAGACTCTAAACTAACTTTCATAGACCATAACAACACAATTATTCACAGGGCAAATAACATGCTAGGCTTTATCAAGCGCTTTTGCTATAACTTTCAGGACCCATACACAATTAAAACACTATATATCGCCTATGTGAGGTCAATACTGGAATATTGCAGCATTGTATGGTCTCCTTTTTCAATCACGCACGAAGAAAGATTAGAATCCGTACAAAAACAATTTCTATTATACGCTCTTCGTAAATTAGGTTGGACATCATTTCCTCTTCCATCATTTGAAGCACGCTGAATGCTTATAAACATACAAACATTAAAAGAGCGTCGTGCATATGCAATGGTTTCATTTGTAAACGATATCGTTTCGCAACGCATTGACTCCACAGAACTTTTATCAAAATTAAATTTCCATGCACCTACTCGGCAACTCCGAAATCGAAATTTATTTGCCATAAAACATCATCGTACAAATTATGCAAGATATGGGCCATTAAACCGCAAGATGGCCTCTTACAATCAATACTGCGAAACCATTGACTTTACAATGTCTCGGCATAAACTAAAACAATATTTTTACTCCATAAGGCATTATAACTCATAAAAAATAGGAAAGCTGACACTGCTTAATTTTTATTAAAGAAAAAATTATACTTTTAACCTTTTGTCCAAAGTTGACGAAATAAATAAATAAATTTAAGAAAACAAAACTGTATTCTAATATGTACTAGTCTACGTTGATTGACGAAATAAATAAATAAATGAAAATGTTCAAAAATGTGAAAATATAAGAGAGTGAAAATATAAGATCAATTGACAATTGTGGACCATAATACCACAAACGAAGTGACAGACGGAGCGGCTCGAAAACTTTGGTGACTAACCTTCTATTGCAATTTTTCAGTGTACCACATGGCAACACCACTACTACTAGATTGTACCACATGGCAACACTACTATTGGATTAAACTAGCATTTTCACCAAATGTACTAGAATATTTTTGTTCTATCTCTTTCACTCTACTCAAAACTGAAATGCATAAAAAAATGACAAAATGATACGCACTCTTTGCACACTGTCAAAGAATCATTGTACACAAAATCAACTTTGTTCAAATCAAAACAAAAAAACTAACCCATCTGGTGGATGATGGCACAAGCTTCCA